TGATAGGCAGAACTGGAAAAATGATGGGTTGATACCCTGCTGGAAACTTAATTTTCCTCTTAGAAAACATGTGGGCATTGCATGGCAACCAAATATCTTGACCAGCATTTGGAAACAGCAGTATCCTGCTCAAAGGTGACAGCCAAGTGTGTTACTTTGAAGGTATGTAATGGCAGTATGTAAAGGCAGTAATGCAGCCCTGTGCATTAACCTTCTAAATGTGCTCACTGCAGTACTTCTGAGTCTCCCATTGCTGAGCTTTGACCCATCATTTTTCCCATTCCAGTTACTACTATTTGGTATACCTATATTTTACAAAGTTAGGTCTGTTCTGGTGTTGCTGCATCAGCATGACTGAACTGGTTTGAAACCCTAGATACAATTCAGTAGTTTTTAGTACATTGGTAGAGTTGTGCTATTACCCCATTTTTTCCTGTGTTGCTCTTGATAGTAAGCTTCAGAAGAACCCCTTAGACATGTCTGCTAATGCTTTCCAAGGTGAATATGTGGGCTGAAGACACAGAGAGCAACCCGCTTGTTCTTGCCTTTGTTGTTGTTGTTATGTGCCGTCAAGTCAGACCTGACTCATAGTGACTCTTCCTTGGGTTTCTGAAGCAGTATCACCATGGAAGTAGATTGCCCCATCTTCCTTCTGAGTGGCCAGTGGGTTTGAACCACCAGCCTTCTGGATAGCAGTCAAGTGCCTTAGATCCCTTTTTAGCTCTCACCTGTTTTCTTATCTGGCATATTGATAGATTTTGTAGAGGTTTCATTATCCAAGGTGAACTCCTGTCAAACCTGTACTGTGTAAGGACCTTTTAGTTACCTAGTCTTAGTGTGGTAGTTCTGTTTGTGTGTCAACTTGGCTGGGCCTGGTTGAGTGGCTGGGCAGCTGGTGGTAGTTATTCCCCATGATGAGACTGGAAATCAACTCCATAGTGGGGATCTACCACAAGCAGCTGAGTAGCTGCCTTTGGGATGTGGTCTGCTTCCTGTCTATAAGCAGAAGCCTTGAGGATGGTCTCTAGCCTATGGCACACTTGGACCCTGCATGTAGCCGTGTCATTGCTCAGCAGCCTGCTATGCTCTGCTGACCTTGGGACTTACAATGGACTTAAATTAATGGCCTGCCATGTGTTTTGGTAACATCAGGACTGTGCCTTTTTACTTGTCAACCTTGGAGCTTCTCATCCTCAGCAGCCAACAGCTGTCTGAGTGAAGAAATGCCTCTAGCTCAAGTGGAAACAGAGGCAGAGCTGGACCCCAAGGTTGAGGAGCTTTCACCCAGCCCCTAAAGCCTGGCACTTTGAACTTGGACTTAAAGCCTCCAAATTGTAAGAATAAATTCCTGTTTGTTAAGGCCATCCCAGTTGTGGTGTATTCTTGTCAGAGCGGCACTAGGTAACCAGAACACTTAACCTCTAGCTGCCATAATAAAAAATACTGTAAATGAAGGTTTTAAAGAACAGAAATTTTCTTAGAGTTCTGGAGGCTAGAAGTTCAAATTAGGGTACTGGCTCTAGGAGAAGGTCCTTCTTTTACTCGTCCAGATTCTAGTAGATGCCAGCAGTCTTTGGCATTCCTGTGCTTATAGATGTATGTGCCTCTGTGGTCACATGTTGTATTCCCCTGTGTGTCTCTTTTTTCCATTTTTATATGGTACCACTTAGAAAAGATTAGGTTTAGGAACAAGTCTACTCAGATATGGCCTCATTAACATAATAAGAAAACCCCTGTTTCCAAACTGGGTCATATTCACAGGTACAGGGGCTGGGACTTCAGCATATCTTTTTTAGGGACATAATTCAATCCATAACAGACTTGTACTTCCCTGTAGCTCTAAGGCAAGCAAAGCACCCAGCTGGGCTTCTCAGTCTGTTTTTTGATGCAGCCCTTTCATGGTGTCCATTGTTTTCAGAATTATATCAGTAATCATCCTTTGTTTGTGTCAGAGTGTCCTGCTTTCTCTTTGATCCACTTTGCCAGAGGAGTCGGAAGATGAGATCTTACTATTGGTGTTTGACCCCGAACTAATGGGCTAAAAGAGCAAATTATTTGGATGTAGGTCACCATGCCCCAAACATAGAAGATTTTAGAATTCACTTTGTATGGGAGTCTGGACAGTAGACTTCAGCTAAGCCACTAAAGTTGGTCTACTTCCTGCCTGGGTCAGCTTTAGGTCCTTAGGGACTCTGGAAACTTAGGAAGGTTATGGGACTTCCTAGGAATTCAGTGTCCTGTAGTGGGTTTTGGGAGCTCTAGTGGCATAGTGTCTAAGGCATTTGACTGCTAACTAGAAGGCTGGAGGTTCAAACCCACAAGCCACTCCTCGGAAGGAAGGTTGGGCAGTCTACTTCCCTAGTGATACCGCCTCAGAAACCCAAGGGGGGGTTGCTGTGAGTCAGAACTGACTCGATGGCAATGAGTTTATAGTGGGTTTTAGGGACTTGCAGAGCTTAAGGACCTTAGTGGCATCTTGGAGGAATTCAAAACCTTTTAGGGTTGTGGCAAAATCCAGCTCCATCTCAGCTTCTCCCCACCACCCTAAGAGTAGAGGAACTTATTCTCTCCCAGCCCACTGCAGTGATGTCCTACACACTCCTGCTCTCATATACTGCAGCTCTTCCTCAAAGAATCCCCATATTCTTTCTGATCATGAGAATAAGACTAATGTGATTGCAGCCCTAGGTTTTGAAGTGTTACATATTTGCTCTACTTGAGTTTGGTTAGTTCAACAATCCCATCCTACCTTCAGTGACTAAAACCCTCACATATCTGGGAGGGCCTCAAGCCATTCAGATGGAGAGGCTGGTGACACCCCACTTTGGTAGTGGCCATAGAATGCCTCCTACTCTGCCCCAGTCCTGAGATTCTCATCTCTTCCAAATGCAGGGACAAAGGCCAAGCTCCCCCTGCCACTGCTGAGGTAGTAATTTTGAGAGAGAGAAGCTATGTGGTTGAGTGAGGGGGCGTGTTCTTCATTAGTGGGCACAGGGTCCCTCTTGCCAACAGACAGCTCCCAAAGACATATCACTTAAACTGTGATGTCCCAACTTTTCTCACCAAAGTCTATCTCCTCCTGCATTGGTGACAAAAGTCGACACACCACAGTGTCAGATTACCCAAAACTGTGTTCGAGATTGGGATAATTTTCATCCTAATTGTTTGAGCAATGGTAAATATATCAGAACCTGAAATGTAAAATGATCTTTAAAAAAAAAATTGTGATTTGGGTGAAAGGTTACAGAGCGAATTCATCTTCCATACAGCAGTTCACATATACTTTGTCTCATGACATTGACTGTCATCTCCCACAATGCAACAGTTCTCCTCCCACTTCCTCCCCATAGCCACCTCTTCCCTGTCTTTCCCTCCCATGCACTCATGCCCCCTGAGCTGTCTCCCTAAGCTTACATAGACCTTCTATTCTCCCATGATTGATCTCTCCAAGGAATGTATCTACCTAATGTAAATGTTCAGCTCATATGCCTGACTTTTGTTTGGCTGGAAGCCACAGGAATGGGTACAATTCCAGACCTGAAGGGCACCTAGGGGCCATAGTCTCAGTGCTTCCACCAGGCTCTTATCAGACCAGCAAACCTGGTTCCTTTTTTTTTATGATGTTGAGTTTTGTTTACACATTGTTCTCCCACTCTATCCAGTATCTTCTACATAGGTCCGCCTCCGAGTGGTTGACAGTGGTAGCTGGGCACCATCTAGTTCTTCTGGTCTCATAGTCATATAGGCTGAGGATCACATGGTGTACCAGTTGGTTGGACTATTTGTGTCCATGTGTCTTTGGTTTTCTTCATTCTTCTTTGCTGCAGATGAGAGACCCATCGTTGCATCTAGATGGCCATGTGCAAGCTTTTAAGATCCTAGTCGCTATCTGCCAAAGTAGGATGTGGAACAATGTTTTTGTGCAGTATGTTATGCCAGTGAGCCTGAGGTCCCCTGCGACCATGGTCCTGAGCCCACAGGTCCAACTACTTGCTCCTTCTGGGTAGCTGGCTGTGGCCAGGAAGTGACTGCAGCCTTGTCCTTTGTTAGCTGTACTATGTACCCGGGAATTCTTACAGAACATACAAATACACTTGTAGAAACATTGTCTGCCAAGCCTATATAAGATCATGGGCACAGTTCCTCCTGGATAGACATACCTAATCATTTAGCCTGTCCACACATAGATCAAAGTTTGCCTTCACTGACTATGCAGTTCTGTATGCACAAAAAGGTTCATCTTTGTTGTCTGTAACTCCCATGCACCTCTCTCTGTCTTCCTCTTCCTCAATGCCATCATGTTGATCACTCACATTTGATACATTGCCCTTCCCTTCACCCAAATCAATACTTGTCTCTACCTATCTAGCAGTATTCTCTCCTCACCCCTCCTACCCCTGGTAACCAAGAAAGAAAATTTCTTTCCATATATAAACCTTTCCTTGACTTTTTACAGAAACAAACTAATCAATATTTGTCCTTCTGTGATTGACTTATTTCACTCAGCATTATGTCCTCCAAGGTCATCCACGTTATGTGGTGTTTTGCAGGTTCTTTGTTATTATTTAGGGTTACATAGTATTCCATTGTGTGTATGTACCATAGTTTGGTTATCCATTCTTCTGTTGATGGGCCCATAGGTTGTTTCCATCTTTTTGCTATTGTATATATGCTGTGATGAACATGGGTGTACATGTATCTGTTCTTGTCCTGGCTTTCACTTCTTTAGGATATATACCTAATAATGAGATTGCTGGATGAAATGGTATTTCTAATTCCAACTCTTTAAGGAATTGCCATGCTGCTTTCCACAGTGGTTGTATCATTTGACAGTCCCACCAGCAGTGTATGAGAGTCCCAATCTCTCCACATTCTTGCCAACATTTTTTATTTTCTGTTTTGTTGAACTCTGCTACTAGTGCTGGGGCAAGATTGTTTAAAATGGTCTTGAGTTAATGTTTTGAACAGAAAATATAATGATGCTTATATTCCATTTATAGGAGTGGCAAGGAATTTACTGCGCCAAAAAGAAAAATGGAGATAATATACAACAAAATGTGAAGATAATACCTGTCATTGGACAGGGAGGGTAAGTAGAGAAAACAAGTAAAATACCTAAATAATATACCATGTTTGGAGTTATTGCAAAATTTGCTTTGAATACTTAAGAACTGTTTGCAAAAGTCAAAAGGAGAACTCATAACAAAATCAGGGTATCATCACTGAATGGCCTTCAAGTGTGACTTGCCTTAGTGGCTTCTCCATTGCTACAGCCTGACCCTCCACCTGGAGGTCCAGAGTCAGTAGATCGAGACAGTCTTGTTTCAGCTGCATGGATGTGAAGGAGACTATTTAAATCAGAATGCCATTTATTAAGCTGTGTAATGAGAACTCTAACAGTTGACTCTCTTTATTTAAAAGATTTTTTATCTAATTTGATAGATGACACAACTTAGAAAGTGACATTCTGATTTAAATAAAGTGCTTGATGGTACAAGTAGTTAAGCACTTGACTACTAGGCAGAGGGTTGGCTGTTGGATTCTGCCTCTAGTAGCACCCTAGAAGGTAGGCCTGGTGATCTGCTTCTGAAAGAGCACAGCATTGAAAATCCTGTGGAGCCCAGTTGTACTCAGAAACATATAGGGCTGCCATGAGTCAGAATTGACTTAACAGGAACTGACAACAACAATGTTATTTCTGCATAGGCCTATCAAATTAGATTTTAAAAGTATTTTAAATACTTAGTAAATTATGTAAATATTTATGTAAATTATTATGTAAAACAGATGTGACTATAAATTGGAAAATGATGTACATATCTACCAAAAAACCAAACTCACTGCCGTCGAGTCAGTTCCAACTCATAGCAACCCCTTCTGAGCCAGTATCTCTCTGGAAGTAGATCGCCCAGTCTTCCTTCCAAGGAGTGGCTGGTAGGTTTGAACCACCAGTCTTCAGGAGCCTAAAAATTTTATATGAGTTGTTTCACAGTCTAAAAGAAATAATATAAAAAGTGGAATTTGGTCAGTATGACTTGTAGAACACACAAAAATAAAATATGCCACCATTAGAAATGATGATCATTGAAAATAAAACTACAAGAAGAAATGCTTATGACAAGGTTAAATGCAGAAAGCAAAAAGTAAAATGATATCTAGAGTATGATCTCAATTGTGAACGTGAAAGAAGGGAAAATGGACAGAAGGAAGTATGGCCATGGTGGTTATAATGCCTGCTCCTGTTTACCAAGCCTTTCCTTCTCTGGACAGGCACTAGTGCCTGGTAGACATCAGTTCATTTTACTCTAACTGTAGCCCTGTGAGGTCAGCACTGTGATCACCTCTATTTTATAGATGAGGAAACTGAGGTTTCTCAGAGAGGAGAGGCTTCTCGCCCAAGGTTCAGCTGCCAGCCAGTGGCAGAACCAGGCTGCGGACCTCGGTGCTGACCGCACAGCTCATGTGATTTGTCACCAGGCTTCTCTGCCAGTTGGTGACTGCCTCAGGGAGCAGGATTTGTGTGAGCTCTCTGTTCTGAGTCTTTGCCCTTTTATGTCCTTTCTAAATTTTTTGTGACATGTATATAGGGATTTGAGTATCAGAAGGAAAACATCAAAAACTGAAGGAACAATAAATAAATGAGAAAAGTCAGCAACTTTGGAGATAAGCTCTTGCTTTGTTTAGATTTCCAGCTAACGAGTTAAATACAAAAATTGGTCCTTGATGTGGCCAGTGACTGTTTCCGTGAATGACGGGGAGCAGTTTGTTGGAACTTGAAGAAGAGCATTGACATAAGGGGCTGTGAAAATAAAATCATGTTAAGGAACCAAAGGCTCTTGATTGGTTAACATGCAGTACAATTTTTTTAAAACAGGTTTTTTTGGTTTTATTTTTGCTTTTTTTAATTGTCTGTTGTGATTTGGGAAGAATTTTGTTGTTTTTTTCTAAAGAGTCACTTTTCTTTACAGACACCAGAAGATGTCTGTAGACTCTTGTTCCTTTGTTGGTGGTCTTGGCCACAAGTAATAGAAACCCTCTCCCCAAAGCATTTTGTAGGAAAGGAAGGTGCTGTTTTCATAAAGAAAAATTAGCTACATATCCGTCAGATTAGAAAGTCAGAAAATAAATAATGCATTGTTTTCTACTTGCAGAAAAATTAGACACTATGTGTCCATTATCAGAGTGTGCAATGGCAACAATAAGGTATGTAAGGAGAGCCCGGGACTCTTGCACCCCAGCAGGATTTTCCTTATCACATACTTAAGCAATGAGAACTAATGGCTTTTAAAATTCATTTTTAGGCTGAGAAAATAGCTGAATGTGTTCAGTCTGACAGTCTTACAGGTACGGTGCCCATTCCATGTTCATTCTTAGGGATCATTGAGCATTTGAGAGAAAAATAAAAACAGAAACACTTACTCTAACTAGCTTGCCTGATGCAGCAATGAGCTGTATTTTTCTAGCACCATGGCAACATTTCTCTCCCTAGTTCCCCAACTTGGTTTGTGAGTTGAAGGACCTGAGCATTTGTGGGCATTCTGACAGGTGCCTGCATTTGCCAGGGCCCAGGTTCTACCCAGCCTGGGAAGGGTCTCAGCCTTTGGGGAGAGTACTAGTCCCCTCAAGTGCATGAACTTATGTGAACATGTTTTGAGGAAAGTGTGGTTTGATAGCCTGATCTATGCTTTTAGAGGTGACCATTGTTGAAAGTCAGACCATAGTACTTTAGCAGAGTTATCTTTGTCTCCCCTGAGAGTAGTCACCACCAATCCACAGGAAGGTAGCTGGACCCCATCAGACTTGCCTTCCTCATCTCTCTTTCCTTGGACACCATCTACTCATTCTCACATCTGTGTTACTGCAGATGCTTTTCCCTGTGCTGGCATTGTCTGTTTTCTTCAAATACATGTCATGGCTTCAGCAGGTCACCTTCCTGGATGAGGGATGTGGGCTCTGATGGTGAAGGTTCACTCCAACTCCAAGCCAGAGGCTCTCCAACAAGTGCCTGTCTGCCATGCACAGGCATTGAGCCCTGGCTCCCAGCTATACTGAGAATCTTCCAGGGAGAAGACTTTGTCTTCTATCCATTCATACTATTAATGATGTGCTTTCCTCAATACCAGAGCAGTTCATTCACTCATTCTAGGAATATTTATTACATGTTTTTCTGAGCATTTACTATTTACAAGCTACTATGCTGGGTGCTTTACATACTTAAGTTTCTTTCATTGAAGCCTTGCAGTAACTTAGCAAAACAGTCATTTTATAGATGAAGTTCCTGTTTTACAGATAATGAAACATAAGGACTAAATAGTTGTCCCAAGGATATCCATCTAGGAAGTAGCAGAGCTGGTACTTGAATCTGGAATGGCTGACTTCAAAGATCTGAAGCACATGCTGAGATAGTTCCTATGGGTCTCCAAGAGCAATCAGGGCTTTCATGTGAATGGAGAGACACACATTGATTAAAAAAAAAAAAAAAAGAAAGAAAGAAAAGAAAAGATAAGATGTGATTGACAGTCAGAAAGGGCCAACAGTACCTTGGTGGCTTAGAGGGAAAAAGGAGGCTTTCACATGGGAACAGGTAACTTTGATAAACAAGAAGGGTGTGGAAGGAAAGCATCCCCAAAATAAAAACAGAAGAGGGAAGTATTGAGTGTCTTCTAGAAAAAGCAAGTATTAATTTTAACTTGTATAAAGGGTCAGTGTGGGAAGAGAGTTTAGATCATGAAGCATAATTTAAATGCTAGGTTGGAACTTAGGGTTTTCATCTGTAGGCAATGGGGAGTGTCAGGGTTTTTAAACAGAGAATCACATGATGACATCTGAGTTCTAAGAAGCATATCTATAACACAGATTGCATGGAAGGAGGGCCCAGAGAGAAGAATACCTACCTACACTGCCGTGGTATAAAAGAGAAAAAGCAATAGCATAGTAAGGTGATGGCATTAGGAAGAGAGAAGAAAGGCCAGATGTGATGATGGTGTGGGATCTGGGAGAGGGAAAAGAAAAAAAAAAAAAGAAATGTTGTCAAAACATAGTTTTTGAGCCTAAAGACTTAGGTTTTGATGATATAGGTACACAGAAGGGGCTGAATGAAGAAGATCAGTGTGGAAAACATTACCTGTGAGGTTCTGGTGGGCAGTTAAAGGGGTTGGCTTGTTAACTCACCTGTTCATTTATTCTAGAAATGTCTGTTGAGTACCTGCTGTATACCAGAACCTGTTTTCTTGTGCTCTGCAAAGAGATTAGGACTAGAAAATGCACATTTTTCTGGCCAGCAGCAGTGTTAGCAAGTAACCTAGATGTGAAACTGCTGAGATTGAACCCAGGAATGGTAGAAGGGAATGAGAAGTTTAACTTTAATGAAAGAACATGCAGAAAAAGGAGAGGAGGGATAAGGAAGCAGAATCTGAGACATCATCATCAGAAACAGAGGAAGAAAACCAAGAAAGTGTCACTGAACTCAAGGAAGGAGAGAACCACAGAGAGATAAGAAGGAGGGGAGAACAGAGCCAGTGACTGATAGATAATTTGCATTTTACACCCTAGAGCTCATTTGTGACCTGTAAAAATGCAGTTTCAGGAGGGTGGTGAGGGCAGAGCCAGATGTCAGGGGATGGTGGGGTCAGAAGTAGAAGTAGCAAGTGCAGGAATCCTTATTCTGTAAAGTCACAGGGTACCTTTATTTGGACTTTTCTGATTTTTCAGAATAGCCCTGTGAAGTAGGCATGGCTATCAACATTCCTTTATTACCAAGGAAGAACCTGAGACTCAGAATGGTCAAGCAGCCAGGAAATGACAGTGGTGGGACTGGAGAGCAGCATCAGTGATATAGTCATAGAAAACTTAAGCACGATGGCTAGCCAAATCCTTTGGACATAAAGCTGGTTATGTTGCCATGCAAGAAGGAGATCAGACAGCCAGCCTGTGAGCTGAGTCATATGGGTAAGACTCCTAAGTGAGCACTGTTGTTGTTGCTGTTATGTGCCGTTGAGTCGGACCCAACTCATAGCGACCCCTCTTTGGGTTGCCGAGGCAGTATCTCTACTGAAGTAGATTGCCCCATCTTCCTTCTGAGGAATGGCTGGTGGGTTTGAACCGCTAGCCTTCTGGTTAGCAGTCAGATGCCTTAGGCACTATGCTACCACTGTGAAGTAAAATGGCCCAGCACAAATGCAGTTTGGGAAATTCTTCCCTTGCCTAAGTTTTGTCATTTTACTTGAGACTGATGATAGATAAACATTTCATGGGGTTATTCCCAAGATAGCCTTTAAACAGGTAAATGAGAAGAAGTCAGGTCTTAGAAAGATAGTCGTGGTAATGGTATGGAGAAAAGAGACGAAAGGCAAAGAGACCAGTTGAGACACTGGATACAAGACATCCTCAGGAGGTCTTGGGAACCAGCATAATGTGAGCGATAAAGAGAAAAGACTTGAGGATGACACCAAGATTTCTAGTCTGGCCAATGAATAGCATTACTTAAAATAGTGCAACAGTCTGTATAGGGGCAGGAGGAGGATACATTTAGATTTGAAACTATTATATTGAAGTACGTGGAACATTCCATTGGAACTGTCTGGTGGCATTTGGAGATAGCCAAGCCTTGGTGAACTCTCCTGGGGAGAGGAAGTGAGGGAGGAAAACAGAGCTGAGAATGAATGGCAGGCAACAACAGCCTTTTTTTTTTTTTTTCATTTTTACTGTGATTTGGGTGAAAGTTTATAGATCAAATTCACTTTCCATACAGCAGTTCATACACATTTTGTTTCATGACATTGCAATCCCCACAGTGTAACAGCTCTCTTCCCACTTCCACCCTAAGTTATCTTTTCCCTTTGCCCTTCTTTCATATGCATTCCTGTCCCCTGAGTTATCTTCCTGTGCAAATACTTCCTTTCTGTTCTCTCATGATTGATCATTTTAAGGACTGTTTCTGCCTGATGTCAATGTTCACCCTGTATGGCTGTCTGTTGTTTGGCTGGAAGCCCTGGAAGTGACTTCAATTCCAACCTTAAGGGTAATTAGGGGCCAAGTCTCGGGGTCTCATCAGACTCTATCAGACCAGTAAACCTGGTCTTTTTTATGATTTTGAGTTTTGTTCCACATTTTTCTCCCACTCCATCCAGGATCTCCTACACTGATCCCTTTCCGAATGGTTGACAGTGATAGCTAGGTCCCATCTAGTTCTTCTGGTCTCATGGTCATATAGGCTAAAGAACACATGATCCATTAGTCCCTTGTTCTATTTGTTGCTATGTTTCTGGTTTTCTTCATTCTTCTTTGCTCTGGATGAGGAGAGACCTTTTGTTGAATATAGATTGCCAGTTACAAGCTTTTAAGACCCCAGTCACTACTCACCAAAGTAGAATGTAGAACAATATTTATATGTAGTATATTATACCAATTGAGTTTGATGTCCCCCATCACCATGGTCCCGAGTGCACAGGTCCAGCAACTCATTCCATCAGGATGGTTGACTGTGCCTAAGAAGTTATCGAAACTTGCCCTCTGTTAGTTCTATTTATGTGAACATTCTTATACATACAAGTACATATGTAGAAGTATTATCTTCCAGCCTTATATATGGTCATGCCTAGACATACCTGATTATTCAGCCTTTCTACCCATCTGTTTACCCATAGATTAATGTTTGTTATAACTCGGAAGGAAGGTTGGGCAATCTACTTCCTTAGTGATACTGCCTCAGCAACCCAAGGAGGGTTCACTATGAGTCGGGTCCAACTCAACGGTACATAACAACAACAACATAACTGATAATGCAGTATTGTATATGTGAAAGTGGTTATATTTGTTGTCTGCACCTCTTATGCACCTCTCTGTGTCTTCTTTAGTGGTACTGTGTTGATCACTCAATTTGGTATATGGCTATCCCTTCACCCAAATCAATATTTGTCCTTTACCTATCTAGCAATTTGCCCTCCCCTCCCATCCCTTGTTGTTGTTGTTGTTATGTGCTGTCGAGTCGGCCCCGACTCATAGCGACCCCTCCTTGGGTTTCCGAGGCAGTATCACTACGGAAGTAGGATTGCCCAACCTTCCTTCCGAGGAGTGGCTGGTGGGTTTGAACTGCCAGCCGTCTGGTTAGCAGGCAAGTGTCTTAGCCACTATGCTACCAGAGCTCCCAAAGCGAGGACTCTCCTGCCGAAACCCGGGATCGAACCAGGGACCTTTAGATCTTCAGTCTAACGCTCTCCCAACTGAGCTATTTTGGCCATCCCTAGTAACCAACAAAACAAGTTTCCTTCCATATATAAACCTTTCCTTGACTTTTTACAATAGTGGACTAATACAATATTTATCCTTCTGTGACTGACTTATTT